GAGAGAAGAGAGGACACATGCGCACACAGTGCAGAGGACCTGGCTTCGGACCTGTCTGTATGAAAATGTTCAAAGCTAGCAGGATATACGCTGCTAGGGTGCCACCCTAGAGTGTCAGGGCCAGGGCAGCCCGCCCACCAGACTCATGTCAGTGCTGATGTCCTTTAGTCACTTGTTTTTAATCATCAGCCTGTTCTCAGCTGGCTGCTCTGCTTGAGAGAGTGGCCAGGATAGAAGATCACAGCCACTGTATATTGAATTGTAGCTCATGAGGAACGCCCTTCCAAGGCCTCATTCGCCTCCGCCTCTTCTCCTGAACTGGATAGAAATACACGAGGGCACTTCAGAGCTTGCCCTGAGGAGTTTAGGAAAGTACCTCCTGCAGTTAGTTGCTCCCTTCCCTTGAAGATGGAGCAGAGGAATATTCTTGGTGTGTTCTACTGGCTCACTTTGGCTTGGGACCTTAACTGAAATCCTCACTCTCGGGTTCCAGAGCTGAAAGGGATGAACACCCCATGCAAGGGATTCAAGGAGCCACTGGGGGAGTTAACACCCAAGCCAGGGTGGCTCCTCAGACCAAGCGTCCACGGTGTATAGTCTGCCTACACGGAGGTAAGTGGAACATCCCTGCATTTCCCCAGGAGTGTCTATATCCACAGTGGAGATTATATTTTGATCTATAACTAAGCTTAGTCTTTCCTCCACTGATGAGTACTAGTTTTTCCATGGAGAAGAGTGAACACACCTTGTAATCATGAGTTTGGTATTTTTATCGCCACCAACATAACATCTGTAATGACATTTTCTACAGCTTTAACTCCTCTGGGAGCCTAAGGTGAATTATGATTTTGTTCCAAAGCTGTTTCCTGACAGCTACTCCAGTTCTCCTGGGGCTCATCTACCTCTCACTGTGCTCTGATGGACTCCTGGTTCCTCACCCCTCTCCTATAAATAGCTTAGTTTCTCTCCTTCTCTGGAGAGCCAAGAGTGAATGAGTTCTGAGAAGACTCAGGTTTTGCGCGCGCATGTGCGCGCGCGCGCACACACACACACACACACACACACACACACACACACACACACTGTTTAACATATGATTTATAGGGATTTTAAGGGGATTTGTGGATTCATTGAGGCTTATCCAAGCACCCAGTGTAATCTGCCTTAGTTTAAATAGAAACATCTCTACTATGTGTTTCTAACACAGGATCATTGGGTAGCTGAGAATGTTCTCACAGCTCCCACTTTCAATGCCTCTACAGTCTTTGCCATTGCAAGTCTGCTATCAGCTGCTCCTCTCTTCTTTGAGGCAGTGGGCTTGAGAGGTGAGGTGGGACAGGGTGGCCCCAGGAGGTTGGATGCAGGTTTCTAGGGCTGACAACGGGTATCACTGAAGTTTTAAATCCTACCAAGGGTCTCCAAACACAGGGGCCTTAACCAAAGCTCTGGTGGCAGTTGGAAGGGGGCGTCCGGCCCAGATCTCCTTTCAGGAGAGAACTGGTAGTGGGAGTGCAGCTGGCCGATGGCTGCCAGCTGCTGCACCTTCAGGACCCACCACGGTGTTCAAACACAGACCACTCCCTCCCCATAGAGCTTTCAACAGTGATGGAGCAAGGGGAAGTACCAGGCTTAGCCACTTCTGCCAAAGCAGGCCTTCTCAATGGGCACCCTTTGGCACTCTGAGGCTTTGTTAGAGCTGTCCTGCATCTGAGGCTCCTCCTGTCCACTCCTCCTCTCCCCCTTTCCCTCAGGTGTTAGATCTGCACAGTGGTCTCAGCTTCCCCTGCCTATTCCAGCTTCCTCCCCCCTCTATCTTTCCCAAGTGGTTCTACTCATCTGTCTCCTGCACCTCTAACTCTGCCTTAGGTCTGCTTCTGGTAGGACCTGAACTGACACAGCTTTTCTCGCAGGTGATGTCATTGTCACTTCAGACCATCCCACCTTATCTTCCCAGATTCCCACTTGAAAAGAGTTCCCACGTTTTGTCAACTCATTTTGCTGCATGGTTAGGATATTTCTGGATATTGGGTTCCTTCCTTCTGACTATGCAAATCATTAGATTTCAGAGTACCACCCTATTCAGTCTCCTGAAGAGCATTGCAGGTCTCTGGAGATGAGGCAGAGGCGTGAGTAGTCAAACACATACTTTATTTCTGCACAAAGATTCTTTCTAGGATCCGAGGCTGGAAAATGGGAACTCCAGGAATGACCCTGTTCCACATACAGGATTCTCCCTGAAAGCCAAATCAGAGAGGTCAGATCCCAAGTCCCCTTTTGATAGAAGTCCCCCAGTCCTTCTAAGAGAAAGGTCCTTCCAGCATGTCTCAGAATTATGGTGTGTGTGTGTGGGGAGAGGACAAGAATTCTTGCCCTTTAAGTTCCTCCCATAGAGGAACTGCTCCCTCCCCACCTCACCTCCAGTCACTATGGTTTGACTGTGAGTTCACGGTGTACATCAGCTCCTCTCTGTGAAGAGTGAGGAGAAGAGGTTGGCACAATACAAAGAACACATTGACAGCAACTGAAGCCCATATTTTGGAAGTAACATAACAAAGACTGGCCCATGATGTCTTATATTCTATTACTACTGAACAGTACGCTGCAGAGAAACACTTAGAAGATAAACATAGGGTGACACATTTCTATAAGAACGAGCCCATGCAATCATGGTGTTTCTCACGTGTGGGAGCTGATGACGTTTTTTACAAGTTACACAGGTGCTGGAGAGTGGGTTGGAGGAAGGCCTGCTGGGCTGGTTTAGAGGAGATGTTTGGCCATATTTGAAATGGCTCAGCACCCTCTCACCCTCCCTCTAAGTGCAGTAACGAAGCTGTCAACCATGTCTCGCGAGGTCTCCTGGACTGCCTGGTGGAGTTCCTTAACGTGATCACAGAGAACTCTCACTGCAAAAGGCTCTCTGAAGGTCTCAGTCCTTGGCTCAATTACACATGTTAAGTCTTTAGGATCCTGGGAAGAATCAACTTCACAGCTGCCTCCATGCCTGCTGGTGGCCTTGAACCCCTAGGACTGCTTGGTTAGCTATGGCTCTAAAGAGTGAAAGGAGCCATGTATTTCCAGCTCAGGGCCAAGTCCAGAGCAGCTACTCAATAATTCTTGTTGAATTCAATTCCAACCCAAGTCCTTGACACTTTCTTCTTGAGTTCTTCTCATAATCATGCTGGTTCTCTATGACCCTTGGAAGAGAATTATTCATGCACAGCACAGTTGTTTATTGGAAGTTTGACTAATACTTTCATCACTGACTTTTGCAGTCTCTAAATTATGTCTTCCGTTCATATATCTGCACTGAGCTGGCTTTACTCAATTTATTTGATCCTTCCCATGAGGCTTAGAAGAGTTCTTGGGTCCTTCTGGCTTATACTGTTGCTAAACCCCACTATTTCCCCCCTCCCACCCCCATGGCCTGCCATGGCCTGGCAGAGTTAGAGCCAGCAGGGCTGGTGAGGCTGTAAACCCTGTGGGTAGTGCTGTTTTCCTTCCATACCACAGATGCAGCACACATGCCTTCATTCTTCAAACAATAAGGAGAGGACATTCACAGATGTGACATGAGGCTTCTGCTTTTAGCCACAATGGGACAAAGCACGAATCTGGAAGACAGGAAGGTGCTGCATGCTCAGTTGATGGAAATCCCTAAGCTGTACTGGGACATGAAGCCTTAAGTTCATGGCTCTCGGTAGATGAACTGTCCTGTAGGGTCAGTGTGTTGTCCCACTTCTTATAGACAGGCGGCCAGCAAAGCCATGGGGTCAGGAGGGGAGATTCAGAGTCTAAAGGGAAAATGCAAGGTGTCCTCTTCCCTGAGGTGCTGCTGCAGTCCCTTTGCTCACTGAGCATCTGAGCACGTATAAGATGTTACCACAAAGCTGGTGCCTCTGTCCTAATACAACCAAAAGGCCAGATCAGGGAGCCCATGAATTTGTTTCCCTGATGTTATCTCCAGTTGCAGGCTCAGTCTGCTAAATACTAGTGAAGAGATGCAGGCTTTGATACCAAGTCCTCCGCTGTGTTAAAGGCTACAACCTTACTAGAGAAAAAAGTACTCACATTTTAGGATAAATCAGAATGTCTGATATGGGTGTGGACACATGGTTGCAGCAGTTGCTACTTTCCAGGAGTATTAAGTCACTTCACTCTCTTTTCCTATTCTTTCTGAGACCACCATTTTTTGTGTGTGAAACAAACAAAAAATTCATACTCATTAAACCATTGGAAATTTGAAGGGACACTTAGATGATCTCGTTCAGTCCCATAGTTTTACAAATAAGGAAAGAAAGGACTCTCCTGACTCTTGGTCCTAACAGGCATTAGCTGGTATCAGTGGACACAGTCTGCCTGCATCAGTTAGTTGCTCAGGGCAGTTCCTGGGGACACAATGCAGATGAATCTGAGGCTCTCAATCCCATGATGTTTAAATGCCCTAAAATATTGAGATGCCAAAAAAGGGGTAGACTTTGTCTTCTTTTCACGGGTGCTCAGAAAACAGAGTTAAGTATCTCTTTCAGATTTTCTGTGGGTCCTTCGTTTGTTCACTCTATCAAAAGAAGACATCCACCAGTGAAAGGAGGGTAATCTGAGCATGACTGAGAATGGCTTCATTGAAGTAGAACAGAGACTCTGGGCAAACAGATCAGTTGGGTCTGTTGCTCCATTGCAGGATTCTCCTGGAAATGAGTGCTCATTCGCAGCCAAACTTTTTTCTAGAACCATGGAATGGACTGTAAAGGACATTAAGTCTAACCTTCCCATTTTACAGGCTCAGAGAAGTGATTTGCCTTGGGTCACACAGCATGGGATTGGCAATGACATGGAAGAATCCAGGTTTTTGAACTCCAGGATGGAATGTGTATCCTAAACCATTCTGACCCCTTTCACAAGCGTTAGGGTGTTTCTGATGGTTTCCAGATCGAGGAGTTATCCATGCATGAAGTGAAACAAGACAAAGACGATGGTGGCTGCCTCTGTTGAAGGCCCAGGGCCTAGGAGAGCATGTTGGAGTAGAAGCTGAAGCTCTCTGACATGGTTTTGGACTCACTGCGAGAGGAGCCATTGGAGGTCAGGTCCACGGGTGAGGGCATGGCCTTGGGGCCCTCCTCCAGTTCTTCCTCATGGTTCCCCACCACCGTGGAGACGGTGGTTTCCAGGCGGCTGACTTTATACACACTGCCCTGGGCCTGAAGATACCGGGTGGACTTCATCTCCAGCCCCTCATAGTCGCCCGCACTGATGAAAGGGCAGCACCGGAAGGCATGCTTGAAGCCCAGCCGGAACCTGGAGGGAGAGAGGTGGAGAGGTGACCCTGGGGGCGGACAGCCTGCTTTCAGAGGACCTTCCCACCTTTGTGTAAGCTCCTTAACACATGGATGCACCCAGGCTTGACGCTGTGTTATTATTTTTTAAATTAATTGAGAACTGGAGACAGGAAGGCCCAGAAGACATAAAGGTTGGTCATTAAAGTCAAACCCAGTACTAGAACCCAGGTTCAGGTAAAATATGTCTTTTCTGAGGATAGCCACTGAACTATGCTGCCTCCACTGGCACGGGGCAACCAACTTTGGTCAACTCAACATCAAAGTAACACATTCACCAGGGTTTACTGTGTGAACTAGTTTTGCTGTTAGTCACTGTGCAGTAAAAACACAAGAGTCAGTCCTTTCCTTCAAGTAGTTCACCATCTGAAAGATGACTTTCTGCCAGTCAAGTTCATGTAGTATGCCTCATACAATCTGAGTCCCGCTCTAACTCTGTCTCTCTGTCTCCAGGCACAGCCCCCCTGTGAAATGATTCATTGGGCAGATTCTCTTAGGCCACAAACTGGATTCAACTTGTGGACTTACTTTGTTTACAGCAACCACAGAGGTTTTTTTTTTTTTTTTTTTTTTACCTGCCCCTCCCACCCCCATTGACTTAGATGCCAGTGTTTAAAAGTAAGACAATACCACACAACAATATGGGTTTCTGGTTCCTCTTGGGAAAGAAAAATATGTACACTCTGGTCTTATATTCTTGCAATGGTGATAATCAGCAGGGACTGAGTAATGTGGTGATTAGTTTGCTACAGGCCCTACCACTCTCTCTTGTCTCACAGCCAGGTTTGGTCATGTAGGTTGTCTGTTTGGTGGTTATATAGACAGATGGTTTTGTGGGCCCTGGAAAGAGTCTGGGGTTGGGGTCCTCACCGGTCATTGAGGCAGCAGTAGATGATTGGGTTATACATGGTGGAGCTCATGGCCAACCACATGATAGCCAGGTAGAACTGCTGAATAAACTTCTCCAGGTAGATATCTGGGTTGATGTAGGGCAGGAGAAAGAAGATGTGGAAGGGCAGCCAGCAGACGGCGAAAGTGCACACCACAACGATCATCATCTTGACCACCTGGCAACAGGGAAGACAGGTGAGGCCAGCAGCACATAATCCTTTTCTCCTGGCTACTTTCTCTCTCCTCCTCCCCCTTTCACAGCACACAGTGCAGTCTGGGGGGAGAAGTACTTATAATAAACCTTTTTTGAGGAAGAAGAAAGACCTTTTCTATGTGGCACCGAAGGGCTGGGGTTATATCAATGGTTCTCAGAGTGCGGGCCCCAGGTCCAGTGTCAACACCACCACTTGAGACCTTGTCAGAACGCAAATTCTTGGACCCACCCAGACTTACCAAATAAGAAACTCTGAGGGTGGGACCAGAGTTTCTTGATTGACAAGTCCTTCCTTCCAATGATTTTGATGCACACTCATGGTCCAGAATCACCGTGTTATACCGTCCTCTGGGCAATGGCTGGAGAAGCCAAGGGGGACCAGATTAATGAGCCAAGGGGAACAGGTGTTCAAGAGGGAAAGACCCAGGAAGTGGGAAGCACCAAAAGTTAGAGCAGTGAGTTAGGGCAGGCTTCTTGCTTAGAGTATCAGTGGGAAGGAAGGATAAGGAATAGGATTTGGACAGCTGCCCAAGAGAGCACCTGCTGTTTAAAGGGGACTTACAAGGTTTTAGGAACACTGGGGGATGTGACCTTTCCCTCTTTCCCCCCAAACTCAGTGAGAACTACCTCTCCTCCACATAGTGAAATGCCATGCAAAGATGCACTAAAAAAAAAAAAAAAAAAAAAGAATGAGGAAGCTCTTTATATATTGATTTTTTTTTTTAAAGGTCTTTTGGCTATTAAGTAAAAAAAAAAAGTGAAGGGCAGAAAGTGTGTGCTTACTATTTGCTTAAAAAAGAAGAAAGAAAATAATTTACATTTATTTGGCTTATAAGTGCATTATAATATCTGGAAGAATTAATAATAAATAAATACCAATGGCTACCACAATGAGTGTGTGCATTAGCATGGGAACCGGTGGGATCCTTTCATGGCAAAACTCACATATATATATTTTTTACTTTCCATTTTGAAATAATTTACGACTCTCAAGAATTGCAAACACAGTACAAGAGTTCTCAGGTTCCTCCTGTGACATCATCTTACCTAACTATACCACGTGATCAGAACCAGGATACCAGCCTTCGTGTCAGGCTAGAAACTAAACTACAGACGGTGTTTGGATTTTGCCTGTTTTTACACACACACTCCTTTTTGGGGGTGTATGGTTCTATGAAATTTTATCACATGTACAGATGAGCTGCAAACCCTGCCACAATCAGGATACACAGCCCTTTTCCCCCAGGAACCCTCCTAACCGCTGATCTGCTCTCTACCATCATTGTGTTGTTCTTTTTAATACTTTTTGATGTTTGCACCAAGTGAATGTATTACTGTGCCAAACTTTAAATAAATACTAAAAAGGGGACTGAATAACTCTTTAATGCTTTTGTAAGTTAAATAGTGTGTGTGTGTGTGTGTGTGTGTGTGTGTGTGTGTGTGAATGTCTTGACAGGTTGCAGTTCTCTTAAGGTGCAAGCAAGGCCATGCTTGTACAGGCAGACCTAAGTTTCCATAAATATTGAAAAAGTATGCCTTCCTTCTCCCTCCACTGCTGTTCCCTGGATTCAAGGATGTTTTGTGCCTGCTGAGCCTGAGCCTCCTGAGGCTCTGGAGTCCATAGGCTTGTGAGCCTGTTGCCTGTGCCGGCGTGGGTTCGGTGCGTCCTGCCCCTTGCTCACCTTGCGTTTAGCAGAGACTTGCTCGTGATAACGGTCAGAGGAGTCCCCGGGGATCTCGCTGGCCCACAGCGTGATTCCTACGATGGTGTACGCATAGCCGATCACCAGCAGGGGGAGGAAGTAGATCAGCACAGGCACGCAAATGTGGTACCTGCAACAAGGCGGATGGGAGGGGTCATTCTAAGAAACAACAGGGGTGGTGGAGGCTTGACAGCTGCCTTTCTCAGCGTTTGCCATTCGTTAGTTTGGATGATAAGACACACCAAAGAGAGGCTTGCCAGCTACAGTGGGCGAGAAGGTGATATATTAATGGATATTCGAGGGAAAGCGTATCTCTTCAACTTTGTTTTTCTAGTGGACTTTTTCCAAAGTGATGGTTCCTGTTCAGATTGAAAAAAGAAGAATAAATATTGATTAAAGAGAACTGGATCCACTGTATACCCATGGCAATTTTAGTTTATATTAAGTTCAATCTTGCTGACCTTCTCCCTCAAAACAACAACAAAAAAGTATGCATCATTCATATAAGTATATGCTCTAGAAAGAAGGAGATGATTGTCCCACGCTGTCCATACTTTTCAGATGACACTTAGGCTGGATTTTGGTGCAGGGATGCAGACCAGCTAGTACCCTCAGAGGAGAACTGCCCTAATTCATTCTATATGACAAATAGAGTCACAGATGCAAGAATAATTAGCTTGGAGGATAAAGAGAAGACTTATCCTAGCTTAGGATTGGTAGGAAAAAGCCACAAAGTCTGGTTCTTAAAAATGTATTTTCAGATGGAAGCTGCCTGGGTCCCTGAGTCATCACTTAGAGTTTATATGGCAACTGACTTGAGTTTGACTAGTCATGAGCAAGAAATGACCCTGTGCTGTGTTAAATCAGTGAGATTTTGGGGGTTTGCTACAACTGCATAATTTATCCTGTTCTGTTTCAGACAAGACTCCTTCTAAATAGGATCTTCACATAGGTTTTTTGAATTTTGAGAAAGAATGTTTTCCTCAGGGAGTCGTTGGCATGTCTGGCTAGTTATAGCCCTTTCTCCTGATGTGAGTTTAATGAAGAGGCTCAACATTTCTAATAGCAATCACAATAACTGGGGGGCTTACTCTGTGCTAACAATGCCAATGACAATATTCACAGCATTCATAGAAATGGGAGTTTGACCTCACTGAGGGGCCAGCACCATGACAAGCACGTTGCTAGCCTTATCTTATTAATCCTGAGAACAAGCGATTGGGCGGGTACTATTATGTCCCATTTTGTAGAGGAGGAAGGCAAAGTTTAGAAGTTAATTAAATAGTGTAAGTTCATACCTGGTAAAAAGAGGAGTTGGGATTGGAATACAGACGCCAGAACCATCTTCTTGTTACTGAAGACAATTAACCCAAGGATATTTCCTTCCATTCTGTTGATGTTTATTTTCTACAGTGAAATTTTTCCAACAAGAATAACTCACTTATTCACTCAATATCTCCTTTACTGACACTCGGTTCCTTTTCAACCACTTCTTAGCAAAGCCCCACAGTTTAATATTCAAGGCCAGTTCTCTCAATATTAAAATGTGCAACTTGAAGACACTTTAGGAGTTTTTAAGTAACAAAACACAGATTCAGCAAAGCAGCGAGCTGAGCGCATCCATTCTGTGCAGTCTCACCACTAGTTCAAAGCCCCTCTGTATTGTTACTTCCTTCGGGAGCCTCCTAAATCCTGCTCAGAGAAACTCATTTTACAAAGAAAATACCCTATCCAAAAGACGTCTAAGTCATAAAAAATTCTAACCGACCGTAGGCCAAATGAATGACATTCCATAATTTAAAAACATGAAAATGAATACATGTATTTCCCCTTGACACCTTTCTGGACAGATTTTACCATATCCTTGTAGCTAATTGGAAGTAGTTCTGTTCTTTTATTTCTTGCTGAAATTATTATTTTGGAGAGCTGCTCAGTGAACCCAGTGAAATCTTATTTTTTGCAGCTCCATGCATTTATTGGCTCTTGAATCTGATATTCTCCAGATTCCTGCCAGGCAGGATTTTCTCAGTTCTCAGGATTAATATGTGTCTCAGGGGGGAAGGGACGAGGGGTCAGGGATGCACCAGAAGTGAACCAGAGGAAGCGTCTGGAGTGAATGCAAGAGGCAGTGACAGACGGGACCGCTAGGTTCCCCCTTGATGAGACGTGCATTGATTTTAATCAGTAAGTCCTGGCAATAGACTTTCAGAAGGAATGTACATGCAACAGCTGTGTGTCTTTGTTCCCTCCGGCTTACTCCTCTAAGCAGCAAGGAGCTTGACACATTTCACAGGATAAACTTGTTGAATACAGCCCCAAATCCTGCAGAGTCTCCTGTCCTCAACGCCTTAATACCTTCATGCTCACTAATCCAGGTTCACTTAGGGCTCACAAGGCTGGATTCACCTCATCGTCCAAGCAGCAGTTTCAGTTTCTGAAATCATCCTCAGCATTTGACATGAAGATAGATATGCTTATTAAATAGTACCTAGGGTGTCTTCTGATGAACTTCATGGAGACTCTACAGTAAGTGCCATGGGGTCGGGAGGCCAAGAGGGCAGGGATCTGGGTTCCTTACCTTCATTCTATGAGACAGCTCTGCTTTGCTGGGTTTATATATTGACTTTCTGTGAATAATTTTGTTTGGGGGTGGTGCTGGAAGATTTCAGCTGTTACAGAGAGGTTGAAGGTCGTTGATGTAATTCCAGCCCCCATTCAATGCCCTCTCTGCAATATCTATCTTATATAATAAAAAGGTAATATGACTGAACAGCAGAATGGCTGGAATGCCTGTGGCCCCTCACCCCAGCTGGCCCACTCCCGATGGCCCCTATCAGGGCCGGCCAGCTGGACCCCACCAGTGCACGAATTCGTGCACCCAGCCTCTAGTATGTCATAATTTTCTTTTAAAATATATTTTATTGATTTTTACAGAGAGGAATGGAGAGGGATAGAGAGTTAGAAATGTGGGAGAGAGAGAAACATTGATTAGCTGCCTCCTGCACACCTCCTACTGGGGATGTGCCAGCAACCAAGGTACACACCCTTGACCAGAATGGAACCCAGGCCCTTTAATCCGAAGGCTGATGCTCTATCCACTGAGCCAAGCCGGTGAGGGCAATATCATGTTTCTATCTTTTCTTGAACACCCCCTGTTGTGAGTAATGCTCACCTGTCAGAATTCAAATAACAGACTTGGAGACAGAAGAATGGCAAAAATGAGACGTTTAATACGTTCTTGCAAGAGTGGGTGTCTGGTTGTACAGGCACACACAGAACAGCAATCACAGGCTATTTATCCCCTAGGGTGCGAAAGTCCCTCCTCCAGTTTTTCACTGGCCGAGTCCTATGGGGTTAATAGTTTCCTCATATGTCACCTAGGTCTTATTGTCTCCTGCTGGGCCATTTACAAAAACAGGCTAAGGCTTTTTCTAGTTGTCTGTACCTCCCACTGTCTAGTTGAGGCTGGCACGAGGCGTTTTATCCTGGGTGCCTCGGGGGTTTCCATCATGATGCTAGCTCACGTACACGCTTCTTCTTTCTTCTATCCTCTTCCCTCCTTCCTACATTCTGTTTGCCCTGGGGAAATTCAGTAACCGTTTCCATTAAAAGTTGACTATTTTGAAGATGGATCACAGAGGCCTATTTCTGTGACACGCTATTACTAGCCAGAAAGCCAGCTCCATTAGGGGTACTCTGCAGCTTGTTAGTGATGCATGCTCTCAGGCCCCACCCTGATGGCCCAGATCAGAGTGCGCATTTTTAACAAGATTACCTGATGATTCCTGTGCAGGTTCAAGTTTGTAGCTTGGTGCTTTCAATTGTGGCAGCAAATTGGAATCACCTGGGGAGCGCTGAAAAATTCCAACGTGTGGATCCATGACAGAGTTTCTCATTAGAATTGGTCCGCAGCGCAGATCGGGCATCAGAGTTACAGAAGCTCTGCTGGGGATTCTCCGTGCAGCAGGGCTGAGTCCCTGTCATCCAGCCTCCTGCTGCTGGCTGTGACTGACACCTTCCTCCTCAAACCGAGCGAAAACCTGCGCCCTGTGGCATTCACTACTTCATCCGAGGCCACGAGCAACCAGCTGAAGCCACCTTCTGGTCCTGCAAACTCAAGGGACCGCGCCCTTCCTCAGAGCCCTCTTTCCATCTTGGCCTTCTCTGCCACCCTCCTTTGACACCTCTGAGCAGCCTCATCCTCTTACTCTTTCTCTGGCCACCCCCAGGCTGTCTCTTCTTCAAGCATGATGCCAGATACCTGCTTGACTTTTTACTTCCAGCAAAAACATTATCTTCTCTGCTGATATACAGGGTTTCTTTGTAGTAAAGAAAAGCAAAACCCATGGATTTCTTCGTTCACTTTTACTTCCAGACTTTAGAGCCCAATCCCAAATCCCTGCCAGTGCGGTTGGAGGTGACCTACTAATGAATAATTATACACCTGACCTTGTGCTTGGGGCTGGGGATGCAGAGGGGAATCCCTTGGTCTTTTCCCAGGAGTTTAGCCTGTGGTGGAGACAGAGAGGTGATTGACAGTAGGTATCTCTTCAAAGGGAGTGGAGACATTGAGGAGGGGTGTCAGGGGCCTTTATTAGTATATATAAAATATAAAAAAATATATAAACATGTAAAAATTTAAAAATCACCCTGAGATACAGTAGGTGTTTTGTTACTACGTGAAGAGAGAGTAACGAGAATGCAGAAGTGAGACTCTCATTCAGGCTGACGAGGGGAGTTCCTGGAGGAGGTGCTGCCAGGCCAGACCCCGGTATGGAAGCAGGAGGCCAGTGCTCCCGGTAAGGAAAACAGCAAGTGCAAAGGCACAGGTGGGGCCCTGGCATGCTGAGCGTGCTGTGGTGCGGCTCAGATGGAGGGAGTATGGCTGTGAGGAAGGATCAGGAGTCTTGGCCAGAAAGGTGGACAGAAGCCAAATCAAGAAAGGCTGGAGAGTTTATAGTTTATTTCAAAGTTTATGGGAAACCATGAAGCAGGTTTTTTTTTTTTTTTAATGTTTTTATTGATATTTATTTTAGAGAGAGAAGAAGGGAGAGGGAGAAAGAGAAACGTCGATGGGAGAGAGAAATAATGACCAGCTGCATCCTCCACTCACCCAACCGAGGTTCAAGC